AACCAAATTTATCAAAATCCGACCTCATTTGGTCATTCAAATCCCCAAAATCCACTCTCCAATTGTCAAGCCCTAAACTCTCAAATTTCAAGCTCAAATCCCTAATTAGATGATGAATAAAGCCATGGATTCACGAAAGTTATACCATTATGGGTTAGAATCACTTACCCCAACGTTGCTCCTTGAAAATCTTCGAAAATTGCCTCTCTCCCAAGTTTCTCAAGTCTAAAATTGAAAATAAATGACAAAACCTCGAGCTGGTGCTTTTCTGCCTAGCAATACTGCACTTGCGGTCCATTGATCGCTTCTGCGTCGCCGCACCTGTGGAAATTCCATCACAGGTGGGGATAATCCTGACTTCGCTCCTGCGGCCTCAAGACCGCATCTGTGCCTTCCGCAGGTGCGGAAACCCTCTTGCTTCTGCGGTCAAAACTGGCACATGCGCATGACTGCCCGCATTTGCGACTCACGCAGGTACGGGAATACCTTCGTACCTACGGTTCCTGCCCACGTCCTCCATGACCGCATCTGCGGCTCCTCAGTCGCTCCTGCGGGCTCGCACCTGGGGCTCACACTTCGCAGGTGCGGAAGACACCAGAACCAGCAGCTTCAACTTTATTTCATCAACTCTAATTCTTCCATTAACCACCTGGAATCACCCCGAGGCCCTCGGAACCACAACCAAACATACCAACATATCCTATAACCTTATACAAATTTAGTCAAACCTTCGGATCAATAAAATCAACATCTAAACACCAAATTACGCCCGGATTCAAGCCTAAAAACTTCTAAACTTCCGAACTCCACAAACGATGCTGAAACCTACCAAACCACATCCGGATGACCTCAAATTTTGTACATAAGTTAGAAATGACAGGACCTACTCCAACTTCCAGAAATCCAATCCTACCTCGATATCAAAATTTCCACCGCCGGCCAAAATCGCCAAAATTCTAATTTTTGCCAATTCGAGCCTAATTCTACCACAGACCTCCAAATCACATTCCGGATGAGCTCCCAAGTCCAAAATCACCTAACGGAGCTAACGAAACCATCAAAATTCAAATTCGAGGTCGTTTACACATAAGTCAACATCTGGTCAACTCTTCCAACTTAAGCTCTCAAATAAGAGACTATATGCCTCAATTCACTCCGAAACCACTCCAATAAAGGAGATGGGGAAACGGGGATCTAACTCTCGAAACGATCGGCCGGGTCGTTACATCCTCCCCCTCTTAAACAAACGTTCATCCTCGAACTAGTCCAGAAACATAACTGGAGCCTCAAATAGGTGTGGATATCTGCTCCGCATCTCCCGCTCAGTCTCCCAGGTGGCCTCCTCTACAGGCTGACCTCTCCACTGCACCTTCACTGATGCTATATCCTTTGACCTCAACTTCCGAACCTGCCACTCCAAAATGGCCATCGGCTCCACATCATAAGTCATATCACTATCCAATTGAACCGTGCTGAAATCAAAAACATGGGACGGATCGCTGATATACTTCTAGAGAATAGAAACATGAAATACTGGATACACACTCAACAAGCTAGGTGGCAACGCAAGCTTGTAAGCCACCCTCCCTATCCTCTAAAGTACCTCAAAAGGCCCAATGAACCGAGGGCTCAACTTGCCCCTCTTCCCAAACCTCATAACACCCTTCATGGGTGATACCTTCAACAAAACCTTCTCTCCGACCATGAAAGACCCATCATGGACCTTCCTGTCTGCATAGCTCTTCTGCCTAGAGTGCGCCATGCGAAGCCGCTCCTGAATCGATTTCACCTTGTCTAATGCATCCTGGACCAAGTCTGTACCCAAGAGCCTAGCCTCACCCGGCTCAAATCATCCTACTGGAGATCTATACCTTCTTCCATATAAAGCCTCGTACGGAGCCATATGAATGGTCGACCGATAACTGTTGTTATATACAAACTCTGCAAACGACAGAAACTGGTCCCATGAACCCCCAAAATTGATAACATAAGCACATAGCATGTCCTCCAATATCTGAATAGTGCGCTCTGACTGTCCGTCCGTCTAAGGGTGAAAGGTTGTGCTCAACTCAACCTAAGTACCCAACTCTCGCTGCACGACCCTCTAAAACTGCGATGTAAACTGAGTGACCCTATCTGAAATGATGGAAACTGGGACACCATGCAGGCGAACAATCTCTCAGATGTAAATCTCAGCCATCCACTCTGAAGAGTAAGAGTATCAACTGGAATGAAGTGCGTGGACTTGGTCAGTCGATCCACAATAACCTAAATAGCATTGAACTTCCTCGAAGTCCGTGGGAGCCCAACTCCGAAGTCCATGGTGATCCCCTCCCACTTCCACTCTGGGATCTCTAACCTCTAAAGCAAACCACCCGGTCTCTGATGTTCATACTTAACCTACTGACAGTTGAGACACCGAGCCACAAACCCAACTATATCCTTCTTCATCCGCCTCCACCAATAGTGCTGTGTCAAATCCTGGTACATCTTCGCGACACCCGGGTGGATGGAATACCGCGAGCGGTGGGCCTCCTCAAGAATCAACTCCCGAAGCCCATCCATATTGGGTACACATATCCGGCCCTACATCCACGACACGCCATCATCACCAATAGTCACATCTCTAGCATCACCTCGTTGAACCCTGTCCTGAAGAACGAGCAGGTGGGGGGTCATCATACTGACGCTCCCTGATAAGATCATAAAGAGAAGACCTGGAGACCACACAAGCCAATGCCCGACTCAACTCCGAAATATCCAATCTGACAAGCTGGCCAGCTAAGGCCTGAACATCCAATGCCAAAGGCCTGTCTGCTGCTGGAAGGTATGCTAAACTCCCCAAACTCTCCGCCCGGCGAGTCAACGTATCGGCCTACACATTGGCCTTCCCCGGATGATACAAAATAGTGATATCATACTCCTTGAGAAGCTCCAACCATCTCCGCTGGAGAAAATTAAGATCCTTCTGCTTGAACAGGTGCTGCAAACTCCGGTGATCAATATAAATCTCATAATGAACCCCGTACAAATAGTGCCGCCAAATATTTAAGGCATGCACAATAGCTGCTAACTCAAGGTCATGGACAGGGTAGGTCTTCTCATGAGTCTTCAACTGGCGCGAGGCATAGGCAATCACCCTACTCTCCTGCATCAGAACACATCTAATACCTATCCTCGAAGCATCATAATACATGGTGTAAGAACCAGAAGCTGACGGCAGAACTAGAACTAGAGCTGTGGTCAAAGCAGTCTTGAGCTTCTGGAAGCTCTCCTCACACTCATCCGACCACCTGAATGGAGCACTCTTTTGGGTCAATTTGGTCAAGGGCGATGCAATAGATGAAAATCCCTCCACAAAGCGACGGTAATAGCCCACTAAACCAAGGAAGCTCCTAATATCCGTGGCTGAGAACGGTCTAGGCTAACTTTACACCACTTCTATCTTCTTCGGATCCACCTGAATACCTTCACTGGACACCACGTGCCCCAAGAATGCTACTGAACTGAGCCAAAACTCACACTTGGAGAACTTCGCATAAAGCTTCTCCTCCCTAAATCTCTGTAATACAATCCTTAGATGCTGAGCATGCTCCTCCTGGCTACGAGAGTACACCAGGATGTCATCAATGAATAACGAATAAGTCCAAATAGGGCTGGAATACACTGTTCATCTAATGCATGAATGTTGCTGGGGCATTGGTCAGTCCTAAAGACATCACTAAGAGCTCAAAATGGCCATATTGGGTCCTGAAAGCTGTCTTGGGAATAACCGAATCCCGAATCTTCAGCTGGTGATCCCCAGACCTCAAATCAATCTTGGAGAACACCCTCGCCCACTAAAGCTAGTCAAATAGATCATCAATACGTGGCGAAGGATACTTGTTCTTGACTGTGACGTTGTTTAACTGCCTGTAATCAATGCACATCCTCATGGAACCATCCTTCTTCTTCACAAATATGATCGGTACACCCCAAGGTGACACATTAAGCCGAATAAACCCCTTATCAAGGAGTTCCTGAAGTTGTCCCTTCAACTCCTTCAACTCCGCTGGTGCCATATGATACGGTGAAATAGAAATGGGCTGAGTGCCCAGCACCAAATCAATTCAAAGTCAATATCCCTGTCAGGCGGCATGCCCGGCAGGTCTGCAGGAAACACATCCGGAAAATCACGTACCACAGGAACAGAATCAATAACAGGGACCTTTGTACTAACATTCCTCACAAGCACCAAATAAGATAGGCAACCCTTCTCAACCATCCGCTGAGCCTTCATGTATGAAATCACTCTACTGGAAACATAGTCTATAGAACCGCTCCACTTAACCCTTGGCAACCCCGGCATCACCAACGTCATAGTCTTAGCGTGATAATCTAGATCACATCAAAATCGACCGTACTGAGCAGCAAAAGATCCACTCTGGTATCCAGACCCCCAATGATCACCATACATGACCGATATACGCGGTCCACAATAATTGTATCACCCACAGAAGTAGATACATGAACAAATGAAACTAAAGACTCATGGGGCATATCCATAAAATGAGCGCAATACGAGGAAACATATGAATAAGTGGACCCAGGGTCAAATAATACCAAGGCATCTCGGTGGAAAACCGAAACAATACCTGTAATCACAGCATCTGAAGCAATGGCATCTGGTCTAGATGGGAGGGCATAGAAACAGGCATGGCCACCCCCTGATCGGCCTCCCCCTCTCGGATGGCCCCTAGCTGACTGAGCTCCACCCCTAGCTGGCTGGGTGGGTGGTGGAGGAACTGGTGCTGAAGTCGAACGCTGACTCCTCTACTGAGATGAACCTCCCGTCAGGTGGGGACAAAACCTCTTGATATGACCCAAATCCCCACACTCAAAACAACCTCTACCGGCCACTAGGGACTGAAGGGAACCCGAGCACTGGAATAACCACTAGAAGGTTTTGACACAGATGAACCCTGAGCTGATGGTGCATGAGACGAACTCTGAGCTGGTAGGGCACCGTCTAGCCCTGCTGATAACCATGGGGCCCATGACCGGATGATGCACCTCGGTGCACTGGGCGAGCCATCTGAGTATGCTTGAAAGGACGACCTCTACCGTGCTGTAACTGACTCCCAGAAGGAGCACCACTAAATCCTCCCTATCCACGAGGCCTCTTGGCCTCCCTCTCAACCCTCTCCTGACTGCGAACCATCTTATTCTGATGAGCGATGTCGACAACCTCATCAAAAGTAGCACCAGACACTCTCTCTCTGGTCATAAGGAATCGTAGCTGATAAGAGAGGCCATCTATAAACCTCCTGATCCTCTCCCTGTATGTGGTAACCAACCAGATAGCATGATGGGCCAACTCTGAGAATCATATCTCATACTGCGTCATAGACATAACACCCTGACGAAGCTGCTCAAATTGCCTGTGCAACTCCTCTCTACAGGACTGAGGCACGAACTTCTCCAGAAAGATAATGGAGAACTGCTGCCAAGTAAGGGGCGCTGTGCCGACTGGCCTACGCCTCTCATAAGTCTCCCACCAGCTAAATGCAGCCCAAGAGAATTGAAAGGTAGTGAACGAGACCCCATTGGTGTCTAGAATACCTGCCGTACGGAGTATCCTCTGACACATATCCAAGAAACCCTGTGCATCCTCTCCATCTGCACCACTGAAAGATGGAGGCTAGAGTCTCCCAAACCTCTCCAATCTAGTTTATGAGAGCTTTAACTATTTAAACCTATGTTATTTCATTTTTTATTTAAAAGTCTTGGAAATATTTTTGAGGTGTCAGCTTGCCTAGTACCACGATAGGCGCCATCACGACAGGCTAAGTTTTGGGTCGTGAAATTAAATCTTGTTGTTTAAGATCATATCTTTGTTTTGAGTGTCGTTGCACGTTCTTTGATGGCTCAAGCAGGCGATCCAGATATCTTGACCAACTTCATTATTCCTGAAAATCGAACTGGAGACACATTAGATGGGAATGTTTTCAACTTCACAGGCATGCGCGGAATTTTTTGCAGTGTTATTACAAGCTTTAAAGGGACAAAAGCTAGCAAAGCGGAATTTCCAGCTTTGGGTGGACAATGTACTTCACTTGCTGTGCTTCAGTTCCCTGGCGCATATCACGACCCAATTTCTCGTATAGGCCGTGATGGTGCCCAACGTCGTCACTAGGCAAGCCAACTGTGAACTAACCATGTAATTATTCTTTTTAATAAATTTCTAAGTAATTGAAACTTCATTGATTAAGAAAACAAGGAGTAAAAAATTTAATAAAGTTCAACGAAGCGAATAAGAGAGAAAGTGCAATGAAATAAATACTCCAAAACCATAAAGTTTTGTCACGACCCAAAATCAACCGTCGTGATGGGACCTATCGTGGAACTAGGCTAGCCTCAACAAAACAACCCAACACCAACAAGTATAAGTTTGGAAACGTTAACGAAAGCATTTAACATTTAAGAAAAACTGTTTAAAATATATGAAAATCCCAAAGTGGTACAATCCAGCCCAAAACTAGGGTGTCACTGAGTACATGAGCGTCTAATAACCGGAACATAGTCCACGAAAATGTCTATAGAAATAAACTCAAAAGTACAAATAAACTAAGGAAGATAAAAATCGAGGTCCGCGAACGTCATGCAGCTACCTCAATAATCCCTAACACCAAATGCAGAAAAATCAGCAGCCGCTGCTCTGACCAGAAACGCTTGGAACTGCACACAAAGTGCAGGAAGTAACGTGAGTACACCAACTCAGTAATTAACAAGTCAAAACTTTGGACTGAAAGGTAGTGACGAACTCAACCTCAACAGGTATAACAGAAATAAATGTGTAGAAATGTAGGCATGCTTTCAAGTCAAATATACAGCTCAAACAGTAAAGGAAATACAGATCTGAACATTGTAAGGTATACAACTCAGCTATCTCTACATGCCAATGCACAGACTGTATGAAATGCACCATATGCTCCACTCTCAAGTATTCGACCACTCGGTACTGTATATGTCCATCTGGCCTAGGGAAATCCATCCCGAAACATATACAACACTGACTATAAGTCACCAGTACCGAGGAAAAAGGGCAATCCAACCCTGTGGAAAAATTCATCTCCATGTATCAAGTACTTCAGGCAAATCCATGTCCAGGGAAATCCATCCCTCAATAATATAATTCGCGCTCACTTGGGGTGTATTACAAACTTCGGAGGGGCTCCTACAGCCCAAGCGCTATCATAATCATCAATATAACCACAGCGATGTGCAGTCCAATCCCATAACTGTCACTCATAACCAGTCACTCGGCCTCACTCAGTCATCAACCTCTCCAGTCTCACCACGGGCTCACAATGTCATGAAAACAGCCCGGAACAATGCTATGATGAATCAATAAATAATTGAGACTGAGATATGATATAAAAATGCATGATCATGACTGAGTATGAAATAGTAAATGAAACTAGTAAGATGACATCAAGAAATGACCGCTAAGGGTCAAACTAATACCGGCACAAAGCCTAAACATGATATCTAGCACGATCTATAGCTCAACTACTTTATCACCTGATGAAAACATGGAAATCAACAGGATAGAGTCACTAAACGGTGCCATGGAATCACCCAGGTCACAATTCTCTTGGTGCAGGCCTGCACGCCCATCACTTGGCATGTGTGTCACCTCAATACCAATCACATAGCATATAATTTGGGCTCTCGAACCCTCAGAACCAAGTTTGAAAATGTTACTTACCTCAAACCAAGCAAAGTCCTACTCAGGAATGCCTTTGCCTCTCAATTCTACCTCCGAACGTCCCAAATCTAGCTACAAGTAACACAATTCGATCAATATAGGCTAAAGGAATCAATTCCACAAAAAAATACCAAATTATAGCCAAAATCCGAAATCGGCTCAAACCCGGTCCCCAGGCCCACGTCTCGGAATCTAACAAAAATAATAAAAACTGAAAGCCTATTCACTCATGAGTCTAACCATACCAAAGTTATTAAAATCTGTCCTCATTTGGTCATTCAAATTCCCAAAATCCACTCTCTGATTCTCAATCCCTAAACTCCCAAATTTCAAGCTCAAATCCCTAATTAGATGATGAATAAAGCCATGGATTCACGAAATATATACCATTATGGGTTAGAATCACTTACCCCAACGTTGCTCCTTGAAAACCTTCGAAACATCGCCTCTCTCCCGAGTTTCTCAAGTCCAAAATTGAAAATGAAAGATAAAACCTCGAGTTGGTGCTTTTCTGCTCAGCAATACACCTGCGGTCCACTAATCGCTTCTGCAATGCCATACCTGCGAAAATTCCATCGCAGGTGCGAATTTCACTTAAATCCTGAATTTGCTCCTGCGGCCTCAAGAGAGCATTTGCGCCTTACGTAGGTGCGGAAACCCTCTCGCTTCTGCGATCAAAACTCGCACCTGTGCCTGACTGCCTGCATCTGCGACTCACGCAGGTAAGGGAATACCTTCGCACCTGCGATTCCGGCCCAGGTCCTCCATGGACGCATATGTGGCTCCTCAGTCGCTCATGCGGGCTCGCGCCTGCGGCTCTCACTCCGAAGGTGCGGAAGACACCATATCCAGCAGCTTCAGCTGCATTTCATCAACTCCAATTCTTCCGTTAACCACCCAGAATCACCCCGAGGCCCTCGGGACCACAATGAAACATACCAACATATCCTATAACCTCATACAAACTTAGTCGAACCTTTGGATCACTCAAATCAACATCAAAACACCAAATTACGCCCGAATTCAAGCCTAAGAACTTCTAAACTTCTGAATTCCACAAACAATGCCGAAACCTACCAAACCACGTTCGGATGACCTCAAATTTTGCACACAAGTTAGAAATGACACCACGAACCTACTCATACTTCTAGAAATCCAATCCGACCCCGATATCAAAATTTCCACTGCCAGCCAAAATCGCCAAATCCGAGGTCGTTTACACATAAGTCAACATCCGGTCAACACTTCCAACTTAAGCTCTCAAATAAGAGACTATGTGCCTCAATTCACTCAACCACTCCAAACCCGAACCAACTACCCTGGTATATCATAATATAGTTGAAAAACACAAAAAGAAGAAAGAAATAGGGGAACGGGGTTATAACTCTTGAAACGACCGGCCGGGTCATTACAAGTTTACTAGCATGTGTTGCAAGACCTTGTGTCACAAGTGTTTGAGCAACTAGTAGAATATACAAAATGCTAAGCTACTATCTGAAGTGGAGTAGACAGAAAGGAAATACAAAAGAGAGACTATGTGTGCTGCAGAACGGACTTAGAAAACAGCTCACCACTAGGCCTCAGGGTAACGGGGGTGCGCGCCGGGATAACTGCCAGATGTACCTGCCTCAGATCCTACATGATTAGTGCAGAAGTGTATCATGAGTACATAAATAATATGTACCCAGTAAGTATCCAGTCTAACCTCAAAGAAGTAGTGACGAGGGGTCGATATCGACACTTACAATGGGATAACAGTAAAATACAGGAATGCTAAATAGGCATAGAATATGTGAATAAAAATATTGACACAATAGCAACATCGATTAAATGATTCTTTAACTAATAGTAAATTCCAAAAGTCTTCCAATAACATATACTAATTCCAAATAAATTTCGGGCCTATAAATAAATAATAACCTCTCAATTCATGAAAATATTATCAAAATTTATTCGGGCTCCAAGCATTAACACGCACAATTTATGCCGAGGTCGTACGGCCCAATCCAAAATAATGTGTACATTGCCGAGGGTCGAGCGACACGAACCATAGATGCATCTATTATACTGCCGAGGCGTTCGGCCCGCTCCACAAGAAGAGAGGATACTTTATGAACATCCAATTTAAAAGCTATTATAAGGCTAATACACAAAGAAGAACAATTTCTATTAACGGTCAAGTAACCCGTCAAAACTCAAGCAAGTGAAATTCGGTCTTTACAAATCCTTTATCAAGTTTCAATATAATTTAGGCACTTTAATTAACAAGTAGGGTGGAAACATTATAAGTATTTCATGATTTGGGTCCTAAACTACCCGGACTTAAGCATGATTAGTA